TTAGCTTGACTGCCCAGTTTCCGCATCTACGCTATTTTTCTCGCACCTGCGCGTTCGCAGGTGCACCCGAGATTTCGCACCTGCAATGGCAGGCCTCCCTTCCCTTTTCGCTTATGCGCATAAACCTCGCATTTGCGAGAGTCGCACCTGCGGCTGTGCAAGTGCAGGTTCGAACGTACCAGAATCAGAATGCTTTCAGCTCCTCTTTAAAATTCCAACATTGATCCGAGCCTCGTCCGGTTAAAATCATAAAACGTACTCGCTCGAACTCTCGGAATGCGTAAAGCAACATCAAATCTAAGAATCATACCCTAAACCAAATTGATTCAAACTTAAGAATTTCAAGTTTTTCAATTTACTTTCAATGTGCCGAAATATACTTAAACTACTCGGAATGACACGAAATTTTGCGTGCATGTCTTAAATCACTATACAGAACTATTCCCAAACTCGGAATTCCAAACGGACTTCAATTACTAAAAATCCTACTCCAAACCAAATTTAAAGAAGTTTAAACCTTCAAATAGTTAATTTTTACTATTAAGCGTCAAAACGCTCACGGGTTATCCAAAACCCGATTCGAACATACGCCCAAGTCCAAAATCATCATACAAACCTATTGGAACCATCAAATCCCGATTCCGGGGGTCGTTTTCTCAAAATGTTAACCGAAGTCAAACTTTGCCTTTTAAGACTAACTTAAGGAACCAAGTGTTCCGATTTTAACTTAAACGCTTCCAAATCCCGAACCAACCATCCCCGCAAGTTATAAATTAATAAAAGCATGTTCGGGGAGTTTTATTTTAGGGAACGGGTTTCTAAAAGTCAAAATGACCGGTATGGTCATTACATGTTCCTTATCCTATATTGATTATCTTTCATGATTCCATACTCATATATATCATGAATTCGTGAATTTATGGAAGAAAAATCAAGATTTTTGTAAAATCTTCCAAAAACGAAAATTTAAGATTTGGAGGTCGAGTTGTTATCAGAATTTGATAAAATTGGTATGGGTGGACTCGTAATTAAATGGGTTGTCAAATTTTGTGAGTTTCGTCAGATTCCAAGACGTGGGCCCCACAGGCGAATTTTGAGTTAAATTTCGAATTTTGGTTGAAAAATTAGTATTTTCATATGGAATTAATTCCTATAATTAGTATTCACTGAATTGAATTAATTTGGTTAGATTTGAGCTGTCCGGAGGTCAATTCAAGCAAGAAGGCGATTTTGGAATATCAGCCTAATTTCAAAAAGGTAAGTGTCTTGCTTACCCTCGAGTGGGGGAATTACCCCTTAAGCATCGAGTCTTATGTGCCATTTGTGAAATGTGAAAAGCCGTGTACGCGAGGTGACTAGTACATACTCGGGCTTATATTTGCAAAATTTATTGAGTTAAAGTCTTAGACATATTGTGTAGTAAATTGGATAATCGTTGGTATATATTTAATCATCTAATTGCCATGCCTCAAATCACAATTATTGAACTTGTTTTTATATGAAAATTCGATGTAATTATTCCTTTTATAGTTATGTGATTTCTGTGAGTTTGATGGTTTGATATTTCTTGGAATTTGATTTTATTATGAATTTTCCCTATGCAAATAATTAATTAAGCAAGCTTAAGAAGAAGTGTTAATATAATTATTTAAATTTGGATTAATGAAGGTGTGCCCTATGTTGATTATTTTTCTATCTCTGTTGATTATTTTTCAGATTTTATATACATTGTGGGGAGCCTTGGGCTATTAGTTATGAAATTAATTGATTTTGTTATATCCTTGGAATCGGTTGTGGCCATTGGTCAAATTGTGATATGAATTTATTTTTGTTACATTGCCGTGATAATATTTCGTGTAAATTGTGTGTTAATTGAGTGATCATTTTGAGGATATAAGGGTAGCATTTCACTGTTGATATTATGTGGGTATAAAGGAGGCATTTCGCTGTTGTTATGTGTGTTGGGGTATTGTTTGGGCGGAGCGATAAAGGTGGCTATAGGAGCGATAAGGGTGGCTATTGATATTGTCAGAGCGGAGGGATAAATGAGGCTATTATAGGAGTGATAAAGGTGGCTATAGGAGAGATAAGGGTGGCTATTGTCAGGGATGATATGTGATGATGTGGGGTTGTTGCATTGGAAATTTTTATTTGATGTTGTGATTTTCATTGTTTTTATTTTTATATCTTGTGCAATTAGTCTTGTTGTTGGCAAATTGGTAATAGTCTGATTTATGTTGAAATTGGGGTCTGTGGCCATTGCCAAGCGGATTATGATATGAAATGTGGGCACGAGGTGCCGTGAGTAAATAATGATGATATTTGCACGTGAATTGTCCGTGCAGTTGTGATATGAATGAGGGCACGAAGTGCCGAAAAAATATGATGATTTAATTATAGGCACGAAGTGCCGTGAAAATATGAAAGTGGGTTGAGACCCGTATTTATGAAAAATATAAAAATGGGTTGAGACCCGTAGTTGTATGATTATGAAATGAAGTGTCACATGGTGACTTTTTAATTGAAAGAATTGTATTCAAAATATTTATTTGGAAGGATTTTTATTTAAAAATATTTATTTGAAAGAATTACATTCGAAAGGTATTTATTTGAAGAAATTATATTTGAGAGATATTTATTTAAAGGAAGTATATTTGAGAGATATTCATTTGAAGGAATTATATTTGAAAGAGATTTATTCGGAAAAATTATATGTGAAAGATATTTATTTGAAATACTTGATTTAATTGGGTGTACTTATATTTATAAATTGTTGAGCGTTATTAATGGTGTTCTTGTTGCCCTTATTGTTATTTGTTTGCTATTATTTTGTATATCTTATTGCATAGGCTATTAGACTAGTAAGTGTCTTGATTGTACCTCGTCTCTACTCCACTGAGGTTAGTCTTGATACATATTGGGTACCGGCCGTGGTGTACTCATACTACACTTCTGCACATTTTTGTACAGAGCCAGGTATTGGAGCTATCGGACTCGGACAGAGTTAAAGTGTGATCGCAAGGATTCAAGGTAGAGCTGCTTGGTCGTCGTAGTCCCTTGAAGTCTTTTCATTTTATTGTACTATTAATTATTAATCAAACAGTATTGAGTATTCGATCCTTGAGATCATTTCATATATTTAGTTAGAGTTTGTAACCTAGTACTACCAGTCTTGGGAGTTTTTCATAACTGTTTCCGCTGTTGGTTTTCAACACGTGTATTAATTTATATAAAAAAAATGGGTTCGAAATGTAATGAAAATCGGCTTACCTAGTCTTAGAGACTAGGTGTCATCACGACGTCTGTGGTGGGATTTTGGGTCGTGACATCAACTTTGCTTTAATTAAATGTCTACACATTTTGCACTCTTAAGTTAGTCGATCGAACTCTATACTAACCAGGCAATGATAAAATATATTTGAATATACATGTACATACATGATGATCAGCTGCATATAATACATAATAAATAGACCCATTAAATTCTACGGTGTGTATATGATTGAAAAATAAATAAAATTTTAAACAAATTTTATTTATTATAAAAGGAGAAATGGGTGCATTGGTAATAAAAAAAAATTATGAATAATTTGTATAGTCTTGTAACTTTAGCATTCACATCAATAGTAATTTTTTAAATTAATAGTGGATCAAGAAGAACAACAAGTGATTTAAATAAAATCAAGGAGTATTTTTAAAAGTTTGCTTATTGTAGGAGTAAATTTGGCCCGATAGTATAACGATAGGAATAAATTTGACCCGATAGTATAATGGAAGTTAAATGCAGACAATATATGAAAGTAGAGGGGTATATTTGACCCTTTTCCCTATATTTATAGACACCCTTAGAATGGCAATCCTTGCATAATATGCATGTATTGTTAGTTCTTGCATAAGTAGACCGTGAACTAAACCACCCTTACTTTCATTATAAAAATTAACACTGTGAATTGACTGTATAAGGAAAGTGAAAATGTAGAGCATACTCTCTCTGGCCCATATTAGTTGTTGTGGTTATTAAATATAAGGGAAAATGCATAAGTACCCCTCATCTATTGTCGGATTTTCAATTATACACTCTATCTTTGCGGGAGTTCTATTATTCCCTAAACTTTTTTAAAGTAGAATTATTTGCACCCTTAAAGTTTACGTTGCAGAGTATGTGTATTTCACTCCTTGGGAGAGTGAGAAGCAAAAAAAAATGATTTTCAATTTTTTTTATATATTTTTAGTGAGATATATAATTTCTTACTTTTTTTTCTTTTCCTTTTCTTTGTCGTTTCCTTCTTCTCCTACACTTCGTCATTCCCGTCAATAACATACAGCACTCGCCGGCGACTTTTATGGTCTTCTTCTTTAATTATTTTGTTTAATCCTCTTTCTCTTTTTCTCCCTCTCAAACACACAAATCACACTTTCATAAAAAAATTATACATATATGAAGCAAAGGAAAGGTGTGTAGTTGGAATTTTGGTCTTAGGTTGGCGTACTTATGCATTTTCCCTTAATATATCTAGTCTAAAATAATTTTCATTTTAGAAAATTACAATATAACTTAATTACTTTTTAACCAATTTTGCCCTAAGCAGTAAATGTTCCGGAAAGTAAAAATATTAACGACATATCATGGAAAACCTAAAAGTGAAAAGTATTAAATAGGATATAGTAGTCAAAATGTCTTCTTATTAATACCTTTTTAAGAGACGTGTAAAAAAAAAATACAATAACTGCAGTGGATTAGAGGGAGTATATTTAGAAGCAGAAGCGGACCTATGCTATACTGAGAGGGATCATCGGCACCCGTAAAGTTCGGTAAAAACTCTACTATATGTTTTTAGAAAATAGTGATATATTAGTAGTGTGCACTCTATATACAAAACAGATTTTGATTGAATCCAAAAGTGCAACTCCGACCATTAATCTCTGTTTTGAAGGGAAACAATTAGAACATAAGAGCCAAAACAAAAATATAAGCCACCATAATATATAGCCTTATCCACGTATGGCCGTTACCAATCAAAATATGGATAAACTACAAAACATAGAAATGCCAGCAGATTAAACCAGCTGAAACAGAGCAGCACCACTCAACAATGGCGGATTCAGTAACAATTTCACTACTCTCCACTGTTCCAGTTCCCAATCCAGTACTGTCAACAAAATCTGGAGAATCTCAACTAAAATATAATTTTCTTTTTCGAGGAAACCAATGCTCTATTTCTTTGAAAATTGGTACAAAATGTAGTGGAATGAGGTCATCAACAAGATTGTATGCAGGGTTGACGGAGATAGAGCCAGACATTAATGAAGATCCTGTTGATAGATGGAGAACTAATGGCATTGAAATTGTAATGTTTCTCTATTCCTCTTTGATTTATCTATTTATTGTTACAAGCAGCCCGATGCACAAAGCATCATGCATTCTGGTAGGGTTCGGGAAGGGCCGGACCCACACAGACAGTCTACCCTAATTCAAGCATTAGTAGCTGCTTTCACAGGTCGAACCCGTGAAATGTTCATAATTGTTCTATGAATTTGCATATAGGCATGTCATAAAGAAATAGTATTTTCGATTGTTGCAGGAAGATTTTGTGTTTGGAAAGTACGATGATCATCACACCTATTTTGAGAGTGAAGATAAAGGTACATAATCCCATTTATACGACACTGTTATTATTTTGAGGACCACCAAAGGATGTGGTGCAGGGGATGAAACTGTTCTTTCCTTAACCAAAGGTCTCGGGTTCGAGCCTGGGTATGGAAAAATTATTGATAGTGAGCGCTTTTCCCGAATGGGGCCCTATGCGGCATGAATCCGAATATAATCGAGCTCCAATGCGGATACCGGACACCGGGTGAAAAACCAAAAAAAGTTATTATTTTGAGGAACAATTTTTTACTACAATATTTGAATGATTAACTTTGTTGGCTTATAGAACTTTCTGTATAATTTGTAAATATGTAAAATTCTATTTCAGAAAACTTAGAAAAATTTATGTCCAAACTAGTAGTTAGGGGAGAAGCAAGATGATTATATATGTACGGTTTCGGCCGAACCTAGTAACTTTAGTCTAAACCCTGGATTTGTGTTATAAAAATCTATTAATTATGTACGGAAATTAAATTCAGAACCAGTACTAACGCCTAATGTCATTATCTTAGAGTTTAGATCCCACAAAGTTCAAATCTTGACTCAAACGCTGCTAGTAGTTAACTTGATCCCAACTTTTAGAAACACTTCGGTATCATTTTAAAGTTCAGACTTCCAGATTATGCAACTTACTGTAGCTGTTTAGCCTAACAAAATATGGTCAATTTAATCTCTTAAAATGAACTGTATCACATACTTAGAAATGTAGGAAATACTTCATTTACTAGTTAAGTTCTCTATTGGCTTTAGCATGACAAAAAAGACTTTGATCTTTATGTTCGATATGATCTCAGCTATCTGATAAGTTAGTCCTATCATCCGTGGAATGAATTCATGATTTGAAC